CAACTGTTATGCATTACAACATAATGCGGGGGAGAGGAGAAGGATTGCTTCAGAACATCTTGGTATAATAAAAATTTGAGTTTTTTTTCCCTCTGTCTGAAATCCCTCTGTGCATTGTTAAAATCCCAATGGAGACTTATCACTTTTAAAAAGAATTAATTTTCTCAGTGACTCATGCAATGGATCAAATGACAGAATATCCACTTTTTGTTTTAAGACTTTCACTGTAACAGACAAACCAAAACCAATCAAACATTACAGGCAACTAGTACGTGATGTGGAGGTGCCAATATCGGATCGAGCGGACAAAGTCACGGGTCACATGGCTCCAGGTTATAGTCCACCAGACGAAGGAGCAGCACTTTGGAAGTTTGTGATTTCAAATCAACCCATTGGACTATAACCTGGAACCGTGTGACTTCTGATCAAATTAAAGAACAGGTAAATTAACCAACTAATTAAACACAACCTAGAAGGTTATAAAAACATGAGGAACATAGATAGGCAAGGTCTTTTCCCCAGGGTATGGGAGTCCCCAAGGTAGGTGAGATGAGGAAGAATTAAAAGGCAAATGAGGGGCAATTTTTTCACGCAGAGGGTGGTGCGTGTATGGAATGAGCTGCCAGAGGAAGTGGTGGAGGGCTGGTACAATTACAACAGTTAAAAGGCATCTGGATTGATATGTGAATAGGAAGGGTTTAGAGGGATATGGGCCAAATGCTGGCAAATGGGACTAGATTAACTTAAGATATCTGGTCAGCATGGACGAGTTGAACCTAAGGGTCTGTTTCCATGCTGTACAACTTTATGACAATAAAATTGTGAACATACAGACATATGGACTAGGAGCCCATTTGTCTGCTCCAGCCAATCATGTTTCTGATTCAAATTCCGCACCCCAATCTATCCTCAATAACCTTTTATTACTCTGCATAACAAGACTTTTATCACCTTTGCCTTAAAAATATTCTGTGAACACCCCCCCGCCTCCTCTGCCTTCTGAGTGTTCCAAAGACCCACAATCCTCTGAGAGAAAATTATTTCTTCTCCCCTCTGACCTGAAAGGGCAACCCTAATTTTAAAACAGTGCTCCCTAACTGTGGACTGGCCCACTGACCCATATCCAACTTTATCAAGTCTATTCAGAATCTTGCTCACTTCAATAAAGTCATCCCCCACTTTCCTTTGGGGTGGCACAGTGGCCCAGTGGTTAGCACTGCTGCCTCACAGACTGAGGGATCTGGGTTTGATTCTAACCTTGGGTGACTGTCTGTGTGGAGTTTGCACATTCTCCCCGTGTCTTCGTGGGTTTCCTCCGGGTGCTCCGGTTTCCTCCCACAGTCCAAAGATGTGCAGGTTAGGTGGATTGGACGCACTAAATTGACCATAGAGTCCAGGGATTTGGAGGCTGGGTGGATTAGCCATGGGAAATGCAAGGTTATAGGGAAAGGGTGGGTCTAGGTGGTGTGCTCTTCAGAGGGATAGTGTGAACTCAATGGGCTGAATGGTGTGCTTCCACACTGTAGGGATTACATGATTCTAAACTCCAAAAGTAACATTCTCTGTCTATCCAACGTTTTGTCATCAGACAACTCAATCATTCCAGGTATCGGTTGAATAAACATCACTTCTGAAGCATTTATATCTTTGCTTAAGTATGGAGAAAACTGCACACAATATTTGCACTGTTGTATCACCAATACCCTGTATAAGTGAAGCGTAACCTCTTTAATTTTGTGTTTAATTCCTCTCGCTGATAAAAGGTGACATTGCTTTAACCTTCTTGATTAAGTGCTGGACCCACTTACTGATGCACCAGAACTCCTAAAGCCCTCTACTCCTCAATTCTACCCTCGCTCTCTATTGGAGTCATACCTTGCTTCTTGTTTTAAATCTGTGACTTGAAGAAGTTATTTTGTCCTGGCTTTTTTGAAGAGAGGTTGTAAGGCAGAACCACTAGAGTAAACAGCTTGAGAGGCCCTGGGAATTTTAGAAGTTGAAACAATAGAAGCAGCCTGGATGGGTGTGGCCAGCTCTCACAGATCAGGATTTCTTGGGTTTTAGGCTTAGCTTTAAGCAGAAACTATTGGGGTCTCAACAGAGTTAGAAGCTTCAATGAATGTCTTCTGGCTGCTAATGTCACTGAATTTTCTCTTGATTTTTTTTTCCCTCCTGGTTTGGAGAACTGCATGTGAGAATCTGTATCTGAATTTTCCTTTTATGTCTAGGGGTGTATTTATGGGATGTTACTATATTGGAACAGTTAATTAGTAATATTTACTGTATCTATTATTCTGTTAATTTTTCAATAGAGTTTAGTTATTCTAAATTCCTCTTTCTTTGGTTGTAATTTAACTACGGTGTTTAAAGCAATTGTGTTTTGCTTAACGTTGATTAGTTTGACCAGTTGCATTGCATCTGGAATAGGCTGTTAATGTTTGCCTTTAAAATAAGAAAAAGTTAGGATCTAGGCTACCTTCTTAAAATATTTTGAGGGGGTCTGACCTGGTCTATAACAATTCTTGCTGCTAAAGTGAACTAATTCATGTTTTCCCACATTATACACCATCTGCCAGGTTTTTGCCCATTCCCTCAACAGGCCTGGAGATCTCCACAACTTCCTTATGTCTTCCTCATGACCATACTTTTCTCCATGTCTTGGTCATGTTGCAAATTTAGCTACCATACCTTTGTTCCACTCAGCTAAGTCATTGATATCCCAATAGCACTTCACTAGTCAAACCCTACCAATCAAACAGAAATCTCTCTGTTTTCTACTTGCCAGCCAATCCTCTATCTTTGCTAATATGTTATCCCACTGCACCATGAGCTTTTATCTTGCTCAGTAATCTTTGATGTGGCAATTTATCAAACTGGGTGGCATGGTAGCTCAGTGGTTAGCACTGCTGACTTGCAGCGCTAGGGACCCAGGTTCAATTCCACCCTTGGGTGACTGCCTGCGTGGGGTTTACACATTCTCCCCGTGTCTGCGTGGGTTTCCTCAGGGTGCTCTGGTTTCCTTCCACAGTCCCAAGATGTGTGAGTTAGGTGGATTGGCCATGTTAAATTGCCCCATAGTGTTCAGGAAGGTGTAGGATAGATGGATTAGCCATGGGAAATGCAGGGAAAGCATGGGATGCTCTTCAGAGTGTCAGTTTGTGGACTCAACAGGCTGAATGACCTGCTCCCACACTGTAGGGATTCTATGCTTCTTGTAGAACTCTTGAAGAAATCCCCATTTCTAGGAGATATGTAGAATTACATGGACATTATCTCCAGTGTCTCCATCATTCCAAGCAGCCAAAGTTTTCCAGATCCAGTTATCACCAGCAAGGCCCGCACTTCAATAACTGTCCATGCTTTAAATCACCAAACTCATCTGATCAGCTCCTTTCCTTTTAAACAGAAACAAACTCTTACCGGCAACTTGCTTAGTGGTTAACACAAAGTCTTATTTATGTTTTAAATGTTAAATGAGTAACTGTATAAGTCACAAGTGTGAGGGTGGGATTCAAAACCAGTCCTCTGTGTGACCATCCCAGCAATATAATCCCGCTGATACCATATCTCCTTAAGTGACGGGAACACAGTGTGCTAAAGAGCAGTTCAATTGAAATCTCAAACATAAAGTGGATGTTAAATTGTTCACGAAAGGACAATGGTGGCTTGATATTTGGTATTTCCCATTTTTATAGGTATTCATGTTTAGCCTTAATAAGTTGGAGCATAAAAATAGGGAAGTCGTGCTAAAAGTATGTAAGGTATTAGTCAGACCACAACGGTTTTGATCCCCTTATTTGATATCATATAATCCCTACAGTGTAGAAGCAGGCCATTCAGCCCATCAAGTCCACACTGACCCTCCAACAAGCATCCCACCCAGATCCACCTCATCCCTATCACCCTGCAGCTAATCCACCTAACTTGCACGTTTGGACAGTGGGAGGAAACCCACACAGACACAGGGAGAATGTGCAAACTCCACACAGACAGTCACCCAAAGGTGGAATTGAACCTGGGTCCCTGGCGCTGTAAGGCATCAGTACTCACCACTGAGCCACCAATCATATTGATTGCCGTCTATTTGATATATCAAATATCTCTGACTACTCAAATTTTCTTGTAATCAAAATCAACTTAAAATTTGCAGTCTAAATTGCTTCCATTGCCTGCTTGATACAGTATCTCGTTAACAAGGACATGTGTATATTCAGAGTTAGATTTTACATATGACATAAGTTTTCTTCTTTCAAAAGAACAAACAATGTACCTGCAATTAAATTTCGAAAACATTGGCGACATTTGAATTGAATTGTGGACCTCTCTTTCTGATGTCATTCGTCACTCGTCAGGTGATTTAAGGGCCATGTGGTGAAAGGTTAATGGTAATGTCGGGCTCCTGGCTAATTCCGAAAGAATGGGATCAAAGACCACCATGCTAGATAGTGAAATTTGAACTCCATAAAATCTAGAATTAAGAAAAGATTGTTTCATTGCGACATAACTGTCATTGATGATTGTTTAAAAATCCATCTGGTTCAGTAATTCCCTCTTCGGGAAGGAAATCTGCCATCCTTACCCGGTCTGGCCTACACGTGACTCCAGACTCAATGGGCCAAATGGCCTGCTTCCACACCATAGGGATTCTGTGATATCAAGTATGGGGATCAAAACTGTTGTGGCCCTGGTATAGTTTTAGCAAGGCCTCCCTATTTTTATACTCCAAGGTATCAAGGCTAATCATTAACACCTATAAAAAAATGAGAAATATCAAATTTCAATCCAGCACTGTCCTTTCAGTAACATCGTATTTCAATGCTCTTTAGGCCATTTCAGGCGACAGTTCGGAGTCAATCTGTCCAAGGGGTAATTACGATGGGCCACAAATGCTGGCCTTGCCCAGTGACACCATGGATGAATTAGGCCTACAATGTAGACTTCATGCAGATAGATGTTGATGGTCATTGTGCATCTTCTTCTATTCCATCCCATTCCCAAAGATTCGTGGATTCATCAACGCCATCAGACCTGACAATGACGACCAGAAGGACCTCATGGCCTTCCGTTTCTACGCCTTGAACCCCATCGTCGACCCCTGGCTCTTCATCATCCTTCGGAAGTCTGTGTTCCGGAACATTCAGAGGATCCTCTGCTGCCGTTTCTCAATGCCAATCCGCAACAACACCTTCCAAGAGCCGTTAAAACAGCAGAGCATCTCGTTGTGTTGACGAAGGCCTGGAAGGAAAGCTTGGCAGGTCGTGAGAGAGAAAGAGAGAGACGGAGATGGGTTTTCCATGACTGAGGTGGCTCTCAGCAAGCGAGGGACAGTGACTGGAACTGAGGCAACGAGGGGTTACCAGGCATGGTTGAAACTGGCATGGAGAAGGAAGGAGAGGAGCATGTTCACCCAATATCGACTGGCTCCAGTAACTTCTATTGCACGTCTAGCCCACAAACTTTGACCCTCTTGAAAATGATGCAAGGAGCTTTATTCTCAGCTCATTCAGAGGGTACCTTCAGCCTACCATCCTCACTCCTTAACTCTGTCCCTCGGCCTCCCAGATGGTACTAACCCAGGCCTACCTCAACCTGAAGTGGGAATTAAACTATTGAACTAACTGTCATGCGGACTGAATTAATTTATAACAGGACTGAGGGAATGATGTTAATAATATCTGTATATATATAAAAAATGATGCCCTGAGCACAATGCTGGAAAATAATATGGTACTCAGATATTCTACAAAGTTTTCTTTGTTCCTTTATTAGCTTTGCTGGCAAGACCAGTCGCCCATTCCTGTTTTAAGCTTTAAGATGGTGATGAGCTGCCTTCTTGAACCACTGCAGTCCCCATGTGATGTAGGGGCACCTACAATGCTTCTAGGATTTTGTCGCCACAACAACAAAAGGGTGATATATTTGCAAAGTCATTGCAGTGTGTGGCTCGGAGGGGGGCTTGCAGAGGGTGGTGTTCCAGTGTATCTGCTGCCCCTTTGTCCTGTGAGGTGTTAGAGTTCAAGAGCTTGGAAAGTACAGTGAAAAAATAACAATAGGACGTCATGTAGATGGTAGGCACTACTGCCACTGCACATGGGCTAGTGAATGTTTAAAGTGGCGAATGAGTTACTGATTGAGTGAGATGCTTTGTGCTGTGAGTGTTGAACTAATCCAGGCTAATGGCAATTATTCCATCAATGGGTGCCCTCTGTTTTGTGTGCCTTGCAGATGATGGACAAGCATAGAGCATTTCCCCACCGCCCACCCAACAGGATCATGGTGTATTTAACAATGGTAGTGGATTTGAATGCAAAGCAAGAGGGTTAGATTCTCTCTTGTTGCATGGCGAGAATGTGACTAACCCTAACCCAGCCTGAACATTCTCCAGGTCTTTCTGTGAACAGGAAAGATTTGTCAGTATCTGAGGAGTTTGTGAATAGAACATTTCAATCACCAACAAATATTCCCTATTTCTGACTGGGTAGTGGGGGGAAGGTCTGTGCTCAAGCAGTGAAGCCAGATTGTGCTAAGTCTGAATTACTCCTGGGCCTAAGGTGATTGTCCTCCAATAACACAGCCACCTCCTTTGTGTTAAATGTAATAGTATATCGAGATGTAAGACACAATGAGTTTAATGTTCCAGAGTCTTAGATTCAGCATTGTGATGTTCGGCGAGATTTTGAAATAATGAGTTGGCTGTTTATTTTTAATTGAACTTTCTTTGTAATGTGTCGCTGGTAAAGTGGTTCTCTATCGCTCACAACACCAGGTGTGAGACCAAAATAGAAACCCCCTCCAGTGGCACTGTGTGTGTGTGTGTGTGTGTGAGAGAGAGATAGAGAGTGTGTGTGTATATGTGTGTGTATGTGGGAGAGAAAGAGAGATAGAGAAAGAGTGTGTGTGTGTATGTGTGTGTCTGTGTGTATGTGTGTGCGCGCACACGTGTCCTCAAAGTATCCGTGACAGTGCCTAGACTCACAGCGTCCCTGATAGTGTCTAGATTCTCAGTTCTGGTGGTTTCTGAGTAGCTGTGAAGTCTGTCTGGTCTCTTAGCATCTGGTCTCAGTGAATGTGCCGTTGTCTGATCCCTCAGCGACTGTCACATGTGCCTGCCCTTTCAGTATCTGTGATATTTGTGTGGTCTTTCAGTGACGATGATCAGTGGCTGTAATGTGATCAATACTGTACGAGTTCTTGCAGGAAATAATGTTAAAAGCATGAATATCTTCACCTTATCTCGTGTCAGGGTAAAAGTTAAGAAATCATTTGAAATATTTATCTTTAAAGTAATGTCAAAAAATGCTTCTCGATATTGGTTAATTGCTGGATTTTTTGAACTTTCTATTCGGGAAATGCCTGTCAGGAAAAGTGACACAGATGATGGACACAGTCAGTCTTTCCAAAAATTTAATCCCTAAACAACACTTACTTATTTTGTTGAAACGAGTGAATAAGGTCAAGGTGAATGGAAAGTGTGAGCAAACAGTCATTTTGTAAGCTTTTATGTATCAGATGAGGTGATCATTGTCACTTTGTTGTTCTTGCGGATGTGTGGTTTTTTTTAAGAATGCACCCCACTCGCTCTACTGAAGGTGCCGAAGAACACCCGTCTTGTCCCAGCCGTTTGGCTGACTTTCACAATTCTGTGAATGTGTGCGATTGTTTTGCACAGCCTGCAACCTTCTGCATTGAGGCCTCGCCTTTGCCATGGTTAAGTGTTCGCTCCAAAATCGAGTCAAGAACTGACAGACAAGCCGAAATAGTTTGCATCGGTTTTGGCGGAACCTGAAACACTGGGAAGGACAGTTTCAGGGTAAGATGTCACTCATTGAGGACTGAGAAGGAAAGAAATTGCTTTCAGAGGGTTGTGAATTTTAGGAAAACTCTTCCCCAGATGGGTCATTGTTGAGGGGTCATTGCTGCGAGCTATCTTGGAGAAGCGAAGGATATAGGGAGTTGGCTGGAAAGTGGAATTGAAGCCTAAGATCAGCCGCGACTGTATTGAAAATCTCCAGAGGCTGAACCCTCCAATGCTGCCACCTTCATGTTTCATTTCTTTTTCGTTGCTGCAAGAAATATTAGGAAAGGTCCGTCAAAAGGGATAGGTTTTCCGGGCTGCCTCAGAGGAAGTACAAGAGGTTCAGAGAGGAAATTCCAGAGCTTGGGAATGAGACGGCTCATGGCACAACCACCAGAGCTGGGGGGTAATTCTGTACAACTCTATGACTCTAAATCTTGAAGAAGCAACAAGCTGGAATTGGAGCATCATGGAAATCCTGTAGGGAGGGTCACCAAGACGGGAAGTAAAGAACCAGGAGCCCTGCTTAATGTTCTGGTGACATGGGTTTGAATCTTATGACAGCTGTTAGAACTTAAATACAATTCATAAATCTGGGCTATTGAGCTAATCCCGTGATAGTCAACATGACAACACAAAGGAAGTAATTGAGTTTTAAGCCATTATTTGGAAAGGGCGGGGATGGGTGAATTCAGCATTGACAGTAAAGAGGTTTCCTCAGCTCATGAACCAGACTTGAGTTCCTGTTGCAGTTGCTGAAGAAGTGCTGCACTCTCTCAATCCTACCCCAAGACCCTTTAAACTAAGGCCTATCGGCCTCACACTCAGATGGATGTGAAACATCCCAGACCGAAATGAGTTAGGAGCAGAAGTAGGCCCCTCAGGCCCAGTCTGCCCTTCAGCAAGAGTATGGCTGACACAGTTAGCCCACATTCCACACCCCACCCCCAACAATAACCTTTCCCACCCCCCACCCCAACCTTATCAAGTCATACAGCATGGAAATTGACCCTTCGGTCCAACCAGTCCATGCCGCCCATAATCCCAAACTAAGCCAGTCCCACCTGCCTGCTACTGGCTCATATCCCTCCAAACCTTTCCTATTCATGTAATTATCCAAATGTCTTCCACCACTTCCTCTGGAAGTTCATTCCATACATGAACCACCCTCTGTCTTTTTAAAATCTTTCTCCTCTCACCTTAAAAATATGCCCCCGGTTTTGAACTCCCCTACCTTGGGGAAAAGACCCTTGTCATTATCACCTTATCTATGCCCCTGATGATTTTATAAACCTCTACAAGGTCACCTCTCAACATTCTACGCCCAAGTGAAAAACGCCCCAGTCTATCCAGCCTCTCCTTATAACTCAAACCATTCCATTCCAGGCAACATCCTGGTAAATCTCTTCTGAACACTCTCCAGCTTAATAATATCCTTCATTTAACAAGGCTTTCAAATGATTCAAAAGCACTTCTTCAGCTGCCTTTTGAGAAAGACAGTTCTCAGGTTTCATGACCCTCTGACAGAAGAACAATTCCTTATCTCTATGGTAAATGGGCAACACTATATTTTTTGAACAGTGACCACTAGCTTTAGAATCTCTGCTCAGAGGAAATATTCTCTCCAGCTTCAGCCAGTCAAGACCCTTCAGGACATTAGGGATAGTAAGAACTGCAGATGCTGGAGTCTGAGATAACACAGTGTGGAGCTGGAGGAACACGGCAGGTCAGGCAGCATCAGAGGAACAGGAAAGTTGATGTTTCAGTTCGGGACCCTTCAGGACATTAGATTTTTTTTCAATCAATCATCAATGGTCGTAGAAATCACATCTGGTTCACCGATGTCCTTTAGGGAAGGAAATCTGACATCCTTACCCAGTTTGGGCCTACTCGTGACCCATAGCCTCAACTGAAAACTTCCTGTTAAACTACTCGGTTCAAGCACAGGGCATGAAGTGGGCAAATGGTCAAGAAAGCCTAGCTTTGATAGGGATGCCCAATTCCCATGAAAAGTACAAAGAACAAGCCCTCAGTGTTTTGGAGACAGTGTAGAGATAGGGTGATTGCATAACTGAATCCAAGGTTCTGACTACACGGGAGCCACTATCTCTACAAGCTCCTTTAGTCCTCTAAACAGTCCGTGTTCTTCCAACCCTGGACCCTTGCACATCTCCAACTCCCGTGGACTACAACTTGCAGCCTGTCCTTCAGCAGTTTGGGTTCTAAGCTCTGAATGTCTCTCCACCTATCTCTAGGGCAAGCCTTTGCATTTTGTACAAGCCTGTCTAAACTCTCATATGCAGCCTATTCATTATACTCCTGGTGGCCAGATTGTGAAGATAGAAGCTGGAGTCAGCATTCACTCGGAATGAATTTATTCACGGAGTGAAACAGTACAAGGTATATGTCTCCTAACTCCACTCTCCTGCATCTTAATGCGCGCTTAGGTAACCATTCAATTAGTTCCCTCTCTCTGTATGTGACCTCAATTGATGCCATTAGCCAAATGATCCCAATCACGAGAGGACATTTAAAGTGTTAAAGTTTAGCTAATGAGTCTGTACTTTCAGGAAGAGAAAGATGGTTACAGATGTTGAAATTCATATTTTAATGGCACAAACAGATGTCACAGTCCCACTCCCCAAAACTATTCAAATGGCTAATGTCACCAGCTGAACAGCAGATGGGAATAGCTTTAATCAATGATGATATGAGTTTGACTATAGCTTGCCAACTAGTCCAGGAATGCCTGGGAACTAACAATTAATCAACAACTGTGAACAAACCAGAGGGACTAATTCGTAGGGCATTGAAAATTGTACATTCGCTTTCTTTTAAAGTATAACAACCGAAAGAACTGTGGATGCTGGAAATCAGAAGCAAGTCAGTTTTTATTCAATATTTAACTCACTGCCAAATCTCTTCCAGGCATACCCACCTTGAGGGGGTTCTGCGCCTCTCTCTGACTGGATTTCTACTCCAATTTTCTCTTGTCTCTATCTCCACCTCTCCTTATCCCCTTCCCCTACACTCTCTTCTGCATATAAACCAGGCATCTTCCCTAGCTACCCGTCAGTTCTGAGGAAAGGTCACTGGAACCAAAACGTTAACTCTGATTTCTCTCCACAGATGCGGCCAGACCTGCTGAGTTTTTCCAGCAATTTCTTTTAAAGTATGCTCTCTGGTTTGGTTGCCAGTTATTTAAAAACCATTGGAGATAGAAATAAAGACTGGCACCCAAGAAGTGGCATTTACTGCTCTGTGCTGAGTTAGCTGATCTCAGCTGGAGGGAAGTAATTGAGTTTTAGGCTCAATTATTTGGAAAGGGTGAGCATGGGGAGTTCAGTGTTGATAGTCAGAAGTTCCAGACCCTCTCCGAAGCTCATGACCTCGGCTTAAGTTGCTGTGGCATTGCTGCTTGCTCCCAATCCTACCAATGACCCTTTAAACTGAGGCCCAATGGCCGCACACTCTGATGAATGCAAAAGATTCCAGGCCGATGTCTTAATGAGAAGCAAGTAAGTAAACTCCAAGTTCTGGGCTGACATTCTCCACCAACAGATGCCACCAGAAAAGAAATCATCATTGCATTGCTCTTGGTGGAATCTTGCTGTGCAGAAATTGGCATGACAATGGCAGTCTGTTGGCTGTTAAAAGTGTTACTGGGTCACGTAGGCACAGTAGGCATTGAACGCTGTCATGTTGACCTTCATAGCAAGAGGATTCGAGTACAGGAGCAGGGACGTCTAGCTGTAATTGTACAGGGACCTTGGTGAGACCACACCAGGAGCATTGTGTGTGGTTTTGGTCTCATCATCTGAGGAAGATGTTCTGGCGATGGAGGGAGTGCAATATAGGGTTTCCCAGACTGACTCCTGGGATGGCAGGACTGACTTAATGAAGAGAGACTGGATCAGTTATAGGGCAATATTCACCGGAGGTCAGAAGAATGAGGGAGGACCTCATAGAAACCTGTAAAATTCCAACAGGGGTGGACAGGGGAAACACAGGAAGGATGTTCCTGATGACAGAGGAGTTCAGAACCAGGGATTGCGGTGGTCACAGTCTAAGAATATGGGATAGGCCATTTCAGACTGAAATGAGAAAGAGTGGGGGAGCCTGTGGAATTCTCTGCCATCAGGCTGGATGCTGTCAGCTATTGCAGACCCCTGACTTAACCCGAATCCTTCAATGGCTCTTGTTTAGTTCTTTCGTCTACAATTGGATAGTTCAAGTCTCCAGTTCCCAGTCTTAAACACTTGCCAATATTTGGTCCATCGCCAGTTTCTGTATTAAAATGCAAACATGTTTTCACAATTGCCAAACTGGCATCAATTTTGTTCCGAAACATCTTTGTCATTTCCAATACGGAAAAATTTTCCACATCATATATTTTGGTTGCCAAATATTTTTTGGTTTCCGCAAAATTTGTCATTGCTGGAGAGGTGAAAACTTAATGAAGGTCAGCATAAAGATCCAAAGGATAGGTACAATGAGAGTTAGATACAGAATAAATCTCCCTCAACACTGTTCCCATTAAACACTCCCAGGACAGGGGCAGCACGGGGTTAGATACAGAGTAAATCTCCCTCAACACTGTCCCCATCAAACACTCCCAGGACAGGGACAGCACGGGGTTAGACACAGAGTAAATCTCCCTCAACACTGTCCCCATTAAACACTCCCAGGACAGGGACAGCACAGGATTAGGTACAGAGTAAATCTCCCTCTACACTGTCCCCCATCAAACACTCCCAGGACAGGGTCAGCACAGGATTAGGTACAGAGTAAATCTCCCTCTACACTGTCCCCCATCAAACACTCCTGGGCCAGGTACAGCACAGAGATAGATACAGGTAAATCACTCTGTACACTGTCTCCATCAAACACTCTCAGGACAGGTTGAATCAGAGAATCCCTACAGTGTGGAAGCAGGCCATTCAGCCCCTCAAGTCCACAACCCTCTGAAGAGCATCCCACACTGACCCACCCCTCTACCCTTACATTTCCCCATGGCTAACCTACCTAACCTACACAGCCTTGGACACTCTGGGCAATTTAACATGGCCAATCCATCCTAACCTGCACATCTTTGTGACTGTGGGAGGAAACCCACACAAGCATAGGGAGAAACTCTCCACACAGACAATTGTCCAAGGATAGAATCAAACCCAGGCCCCTGACACTGTCAGGGAACAGTGCTAACCACTGAGCCATTGTGCAACATTGTGCAGGTATAGCACAGAGTTAAATACAGAGTAAAGCTCCCTTTCAAATATCCTATCAGGCATATCCAGGTAAAGCATAGCACAAGCTGTACACAAAGTAAAGTTCATCTATATCTTCTAATCAGCCCTCTCTTGGCAATTAAAGCATATGTTAGATACAGACAAAAGCCTCTTCCAAACACATAAAAGGGAAAAGTGTATCTAAAGTAAACATTTGTCCCTTAGGACATGAGACTGTGGAATTAACAATAGGAGAAGAGGAAATGACAGGGGCTTTAAACAAACATCTTTGATTTGTTTGCCTGTTGGAAAACACAATAAGCATTTGAATAAACACTCTAAGCTGAAGCAACAAGAACAGTTGGAAGTCAGGTGACATTGAGGCACTTCAAACAAAGATTATCACTAGAGAGAGTCTTTCTCAGTCTCCCCAAGGAAACTAGTAACACTAGCAGTGTAACTAAACCTGATTCTTACATTTCAGGGTCTTGAGAGAAGTGGTTGCAGAAATGGTGGATGCATTGACTGCAATCTTCCAAAATTCCTTAGATTCAGGGAAATTCCCATTGGATTGGCAAACCACTGATATGTGGGAGACAGAAAGCACAAAACTATAGGCCAGTTAACTGAACTCCTTCTGTTAGAAAAGTCCAGAAATGCATTATTAGATAAGTAGCAACAGGGCATCTGGAAATTCATAATATAATCAGGCAGAGTCAACATGGTTTAGTGAAAGGAGAATCATTTCTTAAGAGCTCTTGAGGATGTAATAGGTGAACATAGAGCAGTACAGCACAGGAATGGGCCCTTCAGCCCAAAATGTTGTGTCGAACGTTACACCAAATTAAACTAATCCCTTCTGCCTGCCCTTGGTCCATATCCCTCCATTACTTGCATATTCATGTGCTTATCTTAAAGCCCCTTAAATGCCCCTATCGTATCTGCCCCCACCAACACCCCTGGCAGCACATTCCAGACTCCTACTATCTCTGTATAAAAAAACTTGCCCTTCACATCCCCTTTGAACTTTCCCCCTCTCACTTTAAATGCATGCCCCCTAGTTTTAGGCATTTCAACTCTGGGGAAAAAATTCTGACCGTCAACCCTTTCTATGCATCTCATAATTTTATGGACTTCTATCAAGTCTCCCCTCAGCCTCTTCCGCTCCAGAGAAAACAGCCTGAGTTTTTCTAGCCTCTTCTTATAGCTGATACCCTCTAATCCAGGCAGCATCCTGGTAAACCCCTTCTGCACCCTCTCCAAAGCCTCCACGTCCTTCCTGTAATGTGGCGACCAGAATTGAACGCAATACTCTAAGTGCTGCCTTACCAAAGTCTTATAAAGGGTGGGATAGACAATGGGGAAGCAGTAGATGCCAAGCCTTTGAGCTGCCAAAAGGGCATTTGATAAGGTGCCACCTAAACAAAAAGGCAATTGCTTAAAAATAAGAGCTTGTTGCGATGAAGAGGGCAGGAGGATGGGACTAACATCAATGAAGGATTTAGTAATTAACAGAAAAGGGGTCAGGGGAAATGATCATTCTTGTGTCAACAAACAGTAACTAAAGAAGTGCTGCAGAGATCATTGCTGTGTCCTCTAGTGTTCACAATCTATATTAATACCTTGTCTGCGGGGACTGTCTGTGCTGTAGCCAACATTGCTGACAATGCAAAGAGAGTTGCTGGGAGAAAAGTACATTTGAGAACGACACAGAATGTCTGGAAAGGGATATAGACAGGTTGAGTGAGTGGGCAAACATGTGTCAGATGGAGCATAGTGTGGAAAAAGTTGAGATTATCCACTTGGACAGAAAGGATGGAAAAAAGTAGAATAACATTGAGTTGGACAAACACTGAAGTACGCTGTGGTGCAGAGGAATCTGGGTGACTTTGTCATACATCGCAAAAGCTTAGCATGCAGTTCCAACAAATACTCGGAAATGCAAACAGATTGCTGTTCCTTATTGAAAGGAGAAAACAGGAAATTGTGTTTCAACTGTACAGGGCTTTGGTGAGAGCATTATGTACAGTTTTGGTCTCCTTATGTAAGGAAGGATCTTATCCATTGGAAGCAGTTTGGAGAAGATTCTCTGGTCCCTGGGAATGAATTGGTTTTCTGGTGAGGAAGGTTGCACAGGTTCAGCCCATATCTATTTGAATTTAGAAGAACGAGAGGTGGCCTTATTGAAACATCTAAGATGTTTAGGGGACTCGATAGAGTAGGTGCTGAGAGGAGGAATCTCAGGCTAGTGGTCACCCAATGAAGACCAATGAGAAGCAATGTCTTCTTTCAGAGGGCTGTTTAATGTTTAAATTCTTGTCCACAGGGAGCTGAGGAGGTTGAACCCCTGTTCAAGGTTATGACAGACTGATTTATGACCTACAGAGGAGTCAAAGGTTATGGGGGTGGGGTGGGTGGGTGGCAGTCAGGCAAGAAAGTGGATTTGTAGCCAAGATCTCATCAGCTGTAATCTGACTGAATAACAGAGCAGCCTCAATTGGCCAAATGGCCTACTCTTCTTCCTATTATGTTCCACACCGTTCCATCATGGCCGTACCTCTGACCTTCCTTGACCTCCCACCCCTGAGGTCTCCTGGGGAGCAGTTTGAGGTCATGTCAAACGCATGGGTAAAGCACATTTGAAACAAAAGCACCGCAAATTTCAATGGCGTCAACTGGATTGGAGGCCAGGACCCACAATGCATCTGTGATAAAGTCGCACCCTGTGACCATCTCCCTGGAATGGAGAAGCCACTCCCAAAGATTGTATCGAAAGCAAAAGGGAGCAAGAGAGGGATGGGAGAGAGGGAGGGAGGGAGGATGGACAGAAGTTTGCATTGGCATGGCACCTTTCATGACCTCAGGACATCCCAAAGCACTCAACGGCCAATGAGACACTTCGTGAAGGAAAGTCGCTGCTGTAATGTAGGAAACACGGCAGCCAGTTTGTGCACAGCAAGATCCCACGAACAGCAAAGTGACAATGGTCAGCTCGAAGGGCCTGTTTCCACACTGTAAGGATTCTCTGATTCTCATCTGTTTTATTAATGCTGGCCACAGGATAAATATTGACCGGGACACACGAGAGAACTCTCCAGCTCTCGGTCCAACGTTGCCAAGGAGAGGTCTCACACCCACCTGGCCATTACTGCCTGGAATCAGTCGGTTACTTCTCTTGATCCCATGCAGTGATGACTGTTGGGAAATGCCTTGGGGTAGGGTCAGTATTGGGTTTGGCCATTATGGACTTGCCACAACAGTGCGCCATTTTGCCCCAGTCATCCCAATACCACCCATACCTCATACATGAAGAACTGCCACTTGACTGAATGAGTTGCACTGGGTCTTCGTTTTATTACCAACCATTTACACGATTCACTGTTCACCTTGCTTGCTTGAAGCTTTGGATGTTAAAATTCTGGTGTATGAAATAATAAATGTTTCTCTGTGTTAGACAAAGTGGTCTGTTTGATTTGTCCCCCCATAGTGTCCTAATGGCACTGGATCAGACCAATCCTGCACCCAGTTAACACAACCATCACCAATACACTAATCCCCACCTCACTCAGTCGCCTCAGAATCCCTACAATGTGCAATTTGGCCCATTGAGTTCAGGCCAACCCTCTGAGCAGCATCCCACACAGACCCCACCCTATCCCTACCATTCCCATGGCTAACCCACCTAGCCTACACATCCTTGGACATTACTGGTCAATTTAGGATGGCGAATTAATTTAACTCATGGTGGCTCAGTGGTTAGCACTGCTGCCTCCCAGCAACAGGGACCCGGGTTCGAATTCCACCCTCGGGTGTATCTGTGTGGAGTTTGCACATTCTCCCAGTGTCTGCGTGGGTTTCCTCTGGGTGCCCCGGTTTCTTCCCACAGTCCAAAGATGTACAGGTTAGGGTGGATTGGTTGTGGAAAATGTAGGGTTATAGGGTTGGGGGGAGCAGGTCTGGGTGGGATGCTGTTTGGAGTGTCGGTGTAGAATCGATGGACTGAATGGCCTGTTTCTGCACTAAAAGGTGGGGGGGGGAGCGTGAAAAGGTAGGAGTAATCAAACAATTTCCAGGACCAATCAGACCTCCTCAGAAACAGTCCTATTTCTCAGTGGAGCAGGGCCTGGATAACATTCAGGTTTGGGCTGACGCACGGGAAGTAACGTTGTTACATAAACAACCATCTCTGACTGGAAAGAATCTAAACATTTCCCCTTGACAACCAATGGCATTACCATCACTGAATCCCATACTGGATCCAACATCCTGAACAGAATCCGAACTGGGCCAGAATTATAAATACTCTGGCTACGAGAGCAGGTCAGAGGCTGAGAATTTTGTAGCTCATCTCCTGACTCGTCAAAGTCTAACCGGCACAACTCAGGAATGTGATGGAACACTCCCGACTTTGCATGGATGGATGCAACTCCAACAATGCTCAAGAACATAGAACATAGAACAGTACAGCACAGTACAAGCTCTTTGGCCCACAAAGTTGTGCCGACCTATTATCCTACCCTAAGATCAAACTACCCTGCACATCCTACATTATACTATCATCCATGAGCCTATCCAAGAGTCGCTTAAATGTCCCTAATGTATCTGACTCCACTACCATTGCCAGCAGCGCATTCCACACACCCGCCACTCTCTGTGTGAAGAACCTACCTCTGACATCTCCCCTATACCTTCCTCCAATCACCTTAAAATTATGCCCCCTCGTAATAGTCATTTCCGCCCTGGGAAAAAGTCTCTGACTATCCACTCTATCTATGCCTCTCGTCATCTTGTACACCTCTATCAAGTCACCTCTCATCCTTCTTCGTTCCAATGAGAAAAGCCCAAGCTCCCTCAACCTTTCCTCATAAGATCTGACCTCCAGTCCAGGCAGCATCCTGGTAAACATCCTCTGCACCCTCTCTAAAGCTTCCACATCCTTCCTATAATGAGGCGACCAGAACTGAACACAATATTCCAAGTGAGGTCGAACCAGGGTTTTATAGAGCTGCAGCATGACTTCGCGGCTCTTAAACTCAATCCCCCTGCAAATGAAAGCCAACACACCATACGCCTTCTTTACAACCCTATCAACTTGGGTAGCAACTTTGAGGGATCTATGGACATGGACCCCAAGTTCCTCTGTTCCTCCACGCTGCTGAAAATCCTGCCATTAACCCTGTAATCTGCATTCAATTCGACTTTCCAAAATGAATCACTTCACTCTTAAGCTCAACAGCATCCAAGACAATGCAGCCCACTTGTTTTGACAGTACCTCTCTAGATTCCACACTGGCTGAGCTGTCTAGCTAGAGGTGTATAAGCCTTCTCGGGGCTAAGTTCTGTTGGTTTCGGGTCGACTGTTTCAGAGGGGAGGTGTGAGTTGGAAATACCTGGTGGTTTTGTTTAGAGATAGTAAGAACTGCTGATGCTGGAGTCAGAGATAACACAGTGTGGAACTGGAGGAACACAGCAGGCCAGGCAGCATCAGAGGAGCAGGAAAGCTGACATTTCGGGTTGGGACCCTTCTTCAGAAAAGGAAGAAACATCAGCTTTCCTGTTCCTCTGATGCTGCCTGGCCTGTTGTATTCCTCCACTGTGCTATTTCTGGTGGCTTTGTTTGTTCCTTGCAGGCTCACCACAGTTTGTAAAAGTTTTTTTTTGAAAGATCCAGGATTCTTCAACATTCCTTCCCCCCCAAAACGGATGTGCTGTGGATTATCTATAGAGATGCACTGCGGTAACTATAATATCTGGCAAAATTCCCCCAGAATTAAAACATACGGGCAGAACCCTCGATTGTGGAAAGAACCCTTGGCTTTTAAAAAAAACACTTTTACTAACTGTGCTGATCTTGCAAGGAACAAAAGAAACCACCACGCCATTTCCAGTTCACACCTCCTCAAAACCAACAGAGCCTTTGACCCGAGATAGCGTTTACACCTCTGGCTACACAGCTCAGGCAGTGGGGTGTGGACTGGATTGGACAAAGTCAGACACGACACCAGGTTATATTCCAACAGGTTTATTTAAAATCAAAAAATTTTGGAGCGCTCCAAAAGCTGGTGATTTCAAAACAAACCTGTTGAACTATAACCTGTTGCTGTGCGATTCCTGACTTCAGGCAGTGTGGAACCTAGAGAGATACTGTGAGAGGCCTGAGCATCTAACATCAATGAAAGACCATTTGCATCTTGTCTAACGACTAGAAAGTCCAATTAACTTCAAAGAGAATATCAACTGAACAGTGAGACTTCAGATTTGGCGCGGAGATTACGGGGCCTACAGTCAAGCCCGAACTCACCTGACCATGCTTCCAAACCAAGACCCAAGAGAGGCTGAATCGAGAGGCCAAGCAGAGAAGCCAGAATCAGGACAAAGGATAGCCAAGAGAGGGAAGCCAACCCAACAGATCCACAACAGGACAGACTGAACCAGCTTCCAAACAAAGACCATCTGAACACTGGCCTTTCCGAACTGAGAAAGCCAACGACGAGAACCTCAACCACTGACCACGACCATCAGAACCAAAAACCAACAACTCGAAACAACAACCGACTCAACTGATACCCCACAAGTCCTCAGATGCAACCTAAGGTAAAAACCGGGCTCACCAAACTGGCAAATATAAAGGAAACCAGATACTTACCCGATAGGAGTAAGGGTCACCCGAGGAAGGGTCACCAGACCTGAAACGTTAACTCTGATTCTTTTTTTTCTTCACAGATGCAGCCAGACCCGCTGAACTTTCCCAGCAACTTGCATTTCTGTTCTTTCGGTTTTTACTTTCCCAATAGATCCAATTCACACCTAACCGCACCAACGGGCACAACACAAACCGAAAGGGTTGGACGGCTCAAAGTCCTCAACCGCGGTCTGGGTACGGCAAGCCAGAGCAGGCAAACTTCAAAACTGCGTTGTGAGTGGTGAGCAGAAGTCCCCAGATCCCAAAGTTCCAACACAGTTAGCAGTGAGAGGTGGGACTCTGCTGGTGGGAATTCTGATTAATAAGGTATTTAAATGCTGGTATCTTTTCTGTGTAATAGTAAATAGTTGTGACTCAAATCGTAGTAACCTAATTAATAGTGTATTTTAAAGCACTACTGCTTCCTGTATATTAACTGTGTCAATTTCCTTGAATTATCCAATTACCTATTTCATATATAGTTATTCCCTTTTTGTATCTAAATAAATGCAGAGATTTTTTTGTCCCAAAACTCCTGTCTACTGTGTCTTCATTACATCCTTATCGATAAGTCCAGTGTCCACAACCCAGGGGCTGGGAGCGATTCACACTGCTTGAAGGTCAGAAATATAAGACCAAACCCCAACGTAACTCTCCAAGGCTTTTTTAAGCACCTTCCAAATCCGCAACTCTTACTGTTTAGAAAGACAAGGGCAGTTGATAGAATGGAACACCACAACTTGCAAGCTCCCCTCTGAGCCACTCACTATCCTGACTTGGAAATATATCGCTGTTCCTTCAGTGTCGCTGGGTGAGAATCCTGGAATTCCCTGCCAGACAGAACTGCGAGTATCTGTACACCACACAAACTACAGCTGTTGAAGAAGGCAGCTCAGCAGCACCTTCTGAAGGGACAATTAGGGAAATGGGTCATAAATATTGACCTGGTCAGCAATGCCAACCAATAACTTCCTCCTGAATCAGTGAGCAGGCTTTGAAGGGTTATAACATTCTGAGGAAAGGTCACCGGACCCGAAATGTTAACTCTGTTTTTTTTTCCCTTCACAGATGCTGCCAGACCTGCTGACCTTTTCCAGCAACTTCTGTTTTTGTTCCTGATTTACAGCATCCGCAGTTCTTTCGGTTTTTACTTGAAGGGTTATAGTTCACCGCAAAGAAGCAGTCTCAGAACTTCATTGCTCCAAACGCACACATGCATCAAAATAAAAGGTTGGGATCTGTCTTGTTATTTTCTCCCTGATGAGTTACTGATCATGAAAGCACCAATAAGGCAATTTCACACCAAGGGGCAGTGCCATGGTGAAGGTATATGGTGACAGTGGCATTTTACTTGCGAGAAAATGTTTGTAACACTCTTCGCAAAGATTTACATCTCTTTAAAAATCCCTGCAATTCATCACGTTTATTTGAAAAGGATTGGTTAAACACAAGTATGGCAACACTTAGCATTCCCCAAGTCTGTTTAAGTTTTGGATGCGCAGTCAAGCACATAATCATTTAAGTAAGATCAGTGAGTGACAGTTACAAGTAAAACTTTACTCCCCATTTACAAGTCATCTTTAAACAACCTTGTGAATTCACTCCAGCTCGAAGAAAAGAGAATTTCCGGTGCTGTGCTTGAGGCAGGATGAAACTCCAAGTATCCTCTGTCTGCACTGAGTTCACTGAGACAGCACTAGGCACCCAGCATCAGCTGAGGCTCTGAGCTCTGAGCCACAAGGTTCTACATATAAGTGTCACGCTGCCATGCTT